TCCTTCAAAAGCCCCTGAGTCATAAACCAGATTGTGGCGCCTGCGGAGGCTCAAACGCCCGCTTGGGGCAGAGCCGACCCCGCCGTAGGGCTAGGAGCCAGAGTGAGGCGGAAAGGGATATCACCGTCTGCCTCGGCCCCGGCCGCAAAGGGATGGGCCCCAGCAAGAGACTGGGACGCACGTGTGTCCGGACAGCCCCCAGCAGGGTGAAGACCCGACCCCACGTGCATCTGGGGATGCCGGGTGAAAAGCCACCCAGGCCCCCCTTTCCCGCCAAGACAAGGCCGCCCTCCTCAGGCCCCGGTCTCATCTACTCGCTCGGCCTCGGGTCCCTCCTAAACCCCACTGCTCTCCCAGCCAGCCTCCCTACTCCCCAGGGCCCTTCACCCGACTAGCCCGCGGGCTTCTCGCCCATCTGTTCCCCGCTGCTTCTCCAGGCCCCCCATCCACCGTCTCAGACCACCCAAGCCCGCTCCCTCAGCGCCAGGCCGCCCCACTCCACCTCCTGCTCCCGAGCCCCAGGCCGCCCCAGCACTCCCCATGGAGCCCGTCCGCCCCAGATTGCTCAGGGAAGCGTCGGCATCCTCACCTTGGTCTCCGCCATGGGGCTGGGAGGTGGCGCTGCTCCTAGACTAGACTCGTCCGCGTCGCTCTCTCCCCCCACCGCAGCTTTGGCGCTGAATTTCCTGCTTGCAGCTCCCCGCCCCCTCCCGCTTTTACCTCATTCCCGCAGCCCGCGCCGCCGTTGCCGCAAGGCCTGATGGGAAACGCCTACTTTACCCCGATCCCTTTATCTCGTCTAACGCTGCTAGCTATAGGAGACAGGGTGACCCCGCCACCTGATAGTAGCCTTTTAATGGTACTAAATCACTGCCACGCGGAGGCGTCCGGCCGGGCAACTTCTCCAGGCTCCTACTCGAGGTCTTGGAAACAGCACGAATTCCCCCCGTTAAACGTACAGCATCCCCCCCTCGCGGGCTGAGTCTAAATAAAATTCATCTCCAAAGATCTAGTGTCTGCCCCCAATTAAACCCTTTTACCCCATTCCCGAGCTGTTTCCCATCAGCCTTTGCGACATGGCGGCGACCATCCCGCGTCTCTCTACTCTCAAGATGGCGCCTGCGTGTGTGCTGGAAGGGGGGGGTTATTTTAATCGTGTATTATTAGGAGTGGGGGGTTTTATAAATGCAATGGGCGGATTCCATGGCAGAATCTGTGGAAACGGGTGAAAAAAAATCGCTTTTTTTTCGCGGGCATTTTAGCTTCCCGGTGACGTCACGCAAGACCCACCCCTTCCTTGAAGCCCGCCCCCCTTCTGTGGATGTGTGCAGTATGAGGTGGGGACGGGTCGTGCGGGGAGATGGGCGGGAGGGCTTGCGACTGAGGAGAGCGAAGGGCTCCCTCACGCTCCTCTTTCCTGTCGCTCCCGGCGGAGCTTGAGCCGATGCTCGCCCCATAGGTGCTTATTGGTCGCAGAAGTAGGGAGCCGCGCTGAGATGCGGGGGTGGTCCCGGGGGCGCGGACGGGATGCCCTAGGCTAGGGTCTTGGTGCGCTGGATGCTGCATGGGTGGGTGAGGGTGCTCTCCTGGTGCCGCGGG